TCGATCGTAATTACGTCTCAAAGGCTGGCACGGCGTGTTCTCAAACGTGACTCGCCTGTTCCAGACAAAGCCACGTTGTGCAACACAGCGCGGAGTATGCTCCGACTTGTGTTTTGGTGGATTGAGCACGGGGTGGGATGTTCTATCTGGATGCGTGTGACTGTAAGTTGATTCCAGTCCCTGGGAGCGCGTCTCTGTCTGAAGAGTTTGTCGTCATTTGCAGCGAGGGTTGTTCGAGGCAGCGATTTTTACTTTCCAACGATTGTTTTCTCCAATAGCAGCAAGTTCTGCGTTCGCGTTGCGGTTATCTTTACTTGGCGACATTATGTGTACGATGCTGCGGCTGCTGGCATTGGCACTGGTACACAAGCACAAGTAACAACAACAAAACAATTAAAATGGGCAACGTTCGGGAAAATGGTCCTGACTCTCATCTCTGGCCCATGTGCTACGAAGAAGGTCCATTGCCTGAAACGTCGCCTGTAATGTTGTTTGACATTGTTGGCGAATGTAGCGCCTCTGGTGGCTGCATGAGGTCACGTAAACCCATCACGTGCTTGGCGTAAAAAATAAAAACAAGGATTCTTGAAAAGAATAGGATTTCACCCTTTCTGGCAATATAAAACAGTTGTGTTAAGATTTTAAAAACACCAAACATAAAACAAGGAATCGTGTCTGCATTAACCACATACACTTGTGGTGAACATGTAAAAAAGAAACATGCTCTGGTAGGATGTGATGGCATTGTCTTTGAAACTGATTGGTCGTCCACACCAGAGACAGCGTTCTTTAGAGCCTCGTCTCAAACGGTGTTAGACCTAGAGGACGCCAAAAGGCGAACAGCACAAAGACGACGCACTATCAGGACATTGAGAGCTCGGGGTGAGCTACACTTACTACCAAAGCATGTTTGTTTGTTTGTTTCCATGTTTACCACAAATATAAGTGGTTATTGCAGGCACGATTCCTTGCAAAAGGTTTCCGTTTGATGTTTTAACATCTTAACAAAATTGGTTTATTGCCAGAAAGGGTCAACACTATTCTTATATTTTGATACCGGCAAGAGAGGTCTAGCAAGTTTCAATGCATGCATTCCGAAATCCATCATCTGTATGCCCCTGTCGCAGACACATCGCTCTTCCGTATTGCAGGTAGAGAGACAATTAGCTCATTAAGCCGATTCATTTGCAAAAAAGTTACGCTCGATCAATTGTTAGTGGTCAATGACTCTGGTCCATTTAAAAATGGCTGCTGCATCGACATGCGGGAAACCCCCCACACCCCTCCCCCCCCGGTCAGCCACACGCGATGAACGGGACCACACAACTCCCAATAACACCAATCCATTCCACTGGCTCCCGATCCATTGCCAGATCCTGTGCACCACACTTTATTTTCCACCCACACGCAACATCCCCACCCTTCTCACCCCCCCCCCCCCCCCCCCAAAGTCGACCGGTCTTCAATCAAGTTAGGCGCCACAGTGGCTAGGAGCTGTTAACTACCTCGCCTGGTACACAGGAGGTCGTGGGTTCGATCCCGACCCTGACACCTGCTGTATATTTGGAGTTTGCGTGTCTCTCTCTCTAGGATCATCATCACGGTGGCTGGGAGATGTCAACTACCTCGCCTGGTACACAGGAGGTCGTGGGTTCGATCCCGACCCTGACACCTGCTGTATATTTGGAGTTTGCGTGTCTCTCTCTCTAGGATCATCATCATCACGGTGGCTGGGAGATGTTAACTACCTCGCCTGGTATGCAGGAGGTCGTGGGTTCGATCCCGACCCTGACACTTGCTGTATATTTGGAGTTTGCGTGTCTCTCTCTCGAGGATCATCATCATCACGGTGGCTGGGAGATGTTAACTACCTCGCCTGGTACACAGGAAGTCGTGGGTTCGATCCCGACCCTGACGCCTGCTGTATATTTGGAGTTTGCGTGTATCTCTCTGTGGTCGCGTGGGGTCCTCCGGTTTTTCCCTCCACATTTAGATTCAACATCACGCGTTTAAAGTATTTGACTGCTATACATTGCCACGTGATAAGCCACTTCATTGAGCTATCACTTGCTCAGTGGGCCTTACCTGGTGAAATAAAATGTAAAAAAAAAAGTTGAAAAGTTCTGTACTACGGAGACTCTCAGTCCATAAACTTGCAGACTAACAACCACTGTCCTGGGTACGAGGTGTGGTTATCCAAGCTGCTGCGTTTGTTTCTCTCTCTCCAAAAAGTTTTGCTGTTGCGGCAATGCTCGCCCTATAATCTTTCCGGAGCATCTCATAATCTGGAAGAGAATAGGAGGAGGGGGGGGGTCACGCGTTCTGTGTCATCCGCACAGCGTGTAGCCCCCCCCCCCCCCCCACGTGTAGCAAGGCGGTGCTGAAGCCACTCCCTCTTTTAAAGGGAGCGTGCACACTCCCACCACGCGACACAAGCACGCACGTGTGCGCGTGGTGTGTGTTGAACTTCTTTCGCGCCGTACGTAGCCATCCGTGCTAATCGGAGGTGCGGGGGAAGGACACTAAACTAAGCACGAAAAGCAGTTCTGAAGAAATGAGTTTTCGATCTCGATGATTTAAATGTGCAATCATCGCCTCCTTCTGCGAAAACGTGGCAGGAGCCTCCTGAAAATCTGCCATAAGACTCGTTGAGACTTTCCTAGGTGGACAAGCAACATAATCATAAAAAATAGAATATAAATGTATTTCCTTTCACGCTCACGCTCTACCCCCCATGATACTATCCTTGCATTCAGTATCTACTGCCTATTTAACATTTGCTTAGGTTGTTTTTTTGTCTGTGCCACCGTGGAAACTATAAAAAACTAATTGCAGGCGGATATCGCATGTGCGCTTTTGGGAGCTGCTCGTGTCAGACGTGAAGACATTTGCCGTGGCGTGGATGTGCCAATAAGCAGAGGTGTGGACTCGAGTCATGTGACTTGGACTCAAGTCAGACTCGAGTCATGAATTTGATGACTTCAGACTCGACTTGGACTTGCATAACAATGACTTTGTCCCACCTCTGAGGTGTGGACTCGAGTCATGTGACTTGGACTCGAGTCAGACTCGAGTCATGAATTTGATGACTTCAGACTCGACTTGGACTTGCATAACAATGACTTTGTCCCACCTCTGCCAATAAGCCAACTCGTCATCATTCGGTCTGCACGAGTTCCAACTCGTACGGCGCAACACGCAACACGCATTTTAGGCAATTAATAGATGCCCGCCGGCAGTTGATGTGCCAGCCAGATTTTAATTATGTCTTTGGCTGTACTGTACTCCGTGACATGTGCAATTTTAGATAATAAAACAAAACAAAACCCCACTCAATGTGCGCATCGGCGTGCTGCACTCAGGCGGACACTGCTCTGCGCGTGACGCTCACGTGTTAGATGCAGAAGCAGCAGCAATAGTAATGTACGGCCCGGTTTCAATCCACTGCTGGATGAAGGTCATCCGCACGCCGTGTCGGTCATTTGGGTTTTCTCTATCCAGACGCAACCTTTAGAATGAATCCTTTAAGAGTTTGCAACAACATCTCGCGAGCGAGGGGTGTCCACGGCGTCGATGGACACGTGCTTAGCGAACACGCGTTTGCACGACCTTGCGTCACCACGCTGATCAGTGCGGTTCGGTGAAGGGTTGGTCCGGGATCGGTTCGGTAAAATCACTCTCCTCGTCTGCTACCGGCGATTGAGTTGTCGCGAAGAAAAAAAAATAACAAAAACTATTTACAGCGGTGAATTTACCGGTCTCGAGCGGCTGCAGGGTGTCGCTGGAATCGTCGCTCGGTGTACACCACGTACGAAGTGAAACCGTCGATTGATTGCTTGGGCAAGTGGGAGAGAATCGATGGTTCCACCGTGGGTTCGAGGCATCGTTGGCGTGAACAACATCGCGCGCCGCTGATTTGACCGATGCCGCGGTGAGATCGCCGTCAGCGCAAACGCAGAGTTGCTCAACGAGTCACAGACATCTCGGCTGTGCAATGCATTCATAACCGTGCTTCTTTACAGCAACGGCGTTAAACACAACAACAACAACAACCGCCATTCGCCACTAAGTGGCGGTGACGTCACCACGACGCTTGTGCCAGGCCATGTGCACCTTGAGGCCACGTGAAGTGTCGAACGCCCGCTGGCAGGTCACGGGGCAGACCCAGGTGCCACGGGTCGACTGACTGAGATGACCGAGATGACTGGCTGATGCACCACCTGTGCCCCCTACTGTGCCGACTTGCTGTGCTTTAGCCACCCGGTGCTCCGCTCGTTGTTGTGAGCGTCGCTCAGGGCGTTTGTGACCATCACAGCGGCTAAATGGGGGCTCTGGACGGGTGCGAGGGGCTGGTAACCCCTCCACCTTCAATTAATTACCACTAAACCACGTGGAAAAAAAACACGCGTTAAACACACCCAATAACAAACAAACCCACGTCTGCCGTGAACCATTCATTACATTACTACCGTCAAAACACATTATCGGCAGCGTCAGAGAAGTTATACTCGCACGCAAACGCCCAAAGGGTCATTCGCGTGCCGGACATCGCGATGCACCCGTGTGCGACCGGGGTGGAAACGGCGAGTTTCTAGACGGACAGATTGATTGAGAGGTGGGTGGGTTGTTGTATGAAGACATGGATGGAACAGTACGCACACTGCAGTTGTGTCTCGGGATGGACGAGATGATCTCGTGGATAACCGAGTGGATCAACAAACTGACGCGGTTTTTTGGATTGAATGAAATATGAATGGATGAAAGCGTACGACTGAATAGGTGGACGGACGGACGAATGAATGAATGAATGCACACGCACGAGCAGAGGTACGAATGAAGAGACACGATTATGTAATGAATTGTTGCCGTCTGTAGTGCCTATGTCACAACAACGCGCGTGCGTGCGTGTGCGTGCGTGCGTGTGCGTGCGCGTACGTGCGTGCGCGCGTGTGTGTGTTCAACGGGGCTGCTTCTGCAGCGAGGCGTCCCCAAAAACTCACCGGCTGATCCTCCGGCCAGCACCTGGTGGAACGCCTCGCGCAGTCTGCCCCGCTCTTGCACAGCAATCATCTCGGGGGGATGGTGGTGGTGGTGGTGATGTCCCTTCGTGCTCCCAACAGCAGGCCGTGCGTATCTCTCTCTCTCTCCCTGCGTTACGTCTCTCCCCGTGTGTCGCTCTCTCTCTCTCGCTTGCCCCTCTCCCCGTCTCCGCTGTCGGCGTCTTCAAGGCTTCAAGGGGCCAGCGGCTCCGGCTGCTGCTGCTGCTGCCGCTTTAAGATCCGCTGGCGGTGATGACGGCGGCGACGCTTGCCTGGGGTTGGTAGCCGTCGTTTATGACGCAGCGCTGTGAGGCTGTGTAGGCGGGGCAGTTCGTACGATGATGGGTGTGGGGTGTGCGCGTGGCCCCGTGCAGCGATCACGCCGCGTCAATCCCCGCCCACGCCGTCAAACTCAAACGGAAGTTTACGACTCTGACACTGTGACGTAGAAGCGCAGGAACCCCCCCCCGCCGCCCCCCGAAGCGCGGGGCCCGGTGCGGTCGACCCGATTCGCCGTACCATAGGAACGACTCTGACTGTGGATTTGGTTCTGGTGTGATGATGACGTTGTCGGTGGGGTGATGTGAGCAGGCTTGGTCGCGCGGGGGCAGGGTGTGCATGCCTTTGGTCGCCTGGCCGGTTTGTGCCCCGCGGGAGAAATCGTTGACGGCACCGGACTTTGCCTGGTCTCGATGATGTATCGTTTTCTCTGGATTATAAGACGCACTACCCCCCACATCCCCGCGCTCATACCCCTTACTTTATTTGAAAGCGTAAGTTGCAGGTGCGTCTTTATAACCTATATAAACTATATATATAAAACGTTTATTTTTTTTTTACCAGGTACGGCCCACAGAGCTGAAAAGCTCTAAATCTGAAGTCTTGGGAGACGTAGGCGTTCCCACGCTTTTCCCCACCACACGTAACCTATTTTTTTAAATTAGTATTTTACCATCTAAGGCACACTGAGCTATTTAGCTCTCTTCAGAAGCGACCTGGCCACAAATGATAGCTCAACGAAGTGGCTTAACGTGTGGAAATGTATAGCAGCCAAATTCTCTGAACGCATGTCGGTTCTAACTGTGGGGGGGAAAAACGGAGAATCCGGAGAAAAATCGACAGCACCACGGGGAGAGAGACACCGCAAACTCCAAATATACACAAGCAGGCATCGTCAGGGTCGGGACCGAACCCACGGCCTCCAGTGTGTGACCAGAATTATTCTTCGTAACTTTATTGACGTCTGTGAAGCAAAAATAGCATCGCAGCCAATGGGATTCCTCAAAGATAAAAGCAGATTATAATTACTAATCACTTTGCGGAGCGGTAAAAAAAAATCTCATTAATCATGGGACCGCCTTTGCAGGTACCAAAATATGAGAAGAGGTTTTCCCCTTTTTTCTGGCAACAAAACAGGTGTTAAGATGTTAAAACACCAAATTTAAACCTTTTACAAGGAATCATGTCTGCATTAACCACAAAGGGAAAAAACCTATTATCATATTTTGGTACTGCAAAGAAGGTCCCATGATGTAGCTGCTCACCCCGAGCCCTCATTACTCTGATAGTGCATTGTCTTTGAGCTGTACGCCTTTTGGCGTCCTCTGGTCTAACACTGTTTGAGACGAGGCTCTAAAGAAAGCTGTCTATGGTGTGGACCAATCAGTTTAAAAGACAATGCATATATTATCAGAGTATGTTTTTTGTTTGCATTCTGACCACAAGTATTGTAGTTAATGCAGACATGATTCCTTGTAAAAGGTTTCAGTTTGGTGTTTTAACATCTTAACACAGCTGTTTTGTTGCCAGAAAAAATGGGAAAACCTATTCTCAAAAATCTCGTTGACGAGTTATATCTGAACTGTGCCTGGACCCGTACACGCGCGACAACTTGCATTGACCAGCGAAATGCGCTTCCACGTGTGTTGAACTTCTTTCGCACCGTACATAGCTAACCGTGCCAATCGGATGTGCGGGGGAAGAACAACAAACTAAACACAAAAAAGCAGTTCTAAAGAAATGAGTTTTCAATCTACCATTTAAAAGCGCACAGCGACAAAATCAGTTCTAAAGAAATTAGTTTTCAATCTGGATGATGATTTTAAAGTTCAAGTTCAAGTTCATTTATAAGGTATAGCCCTGTGAGCCATTCGGCTCTTGAATCGGGTGCAACCACAACAAACAAAAAACAAAAACATGAACAAAAAACATCTTAAAGTGAATATGTGACTAAGTGCAAACAGAAAATCCAAGAAAAGACAGCAAAATATTGCAGAAAAAAACACCGTACACCAACGCTGTGTGCAAAAATCCCAGTGGGATGCAAGTCAAACAACAACAACAACCATAAGACAACTTAGATTAAGGCCATCAGTCTAACTCTGTATTACAACAAACAAACATGGCTAAACCAATACACTTTTCGAAATCACCAAAATAAAGTGCATGGCACCAGTGGCTTCCTCACATCGAGCGTGACACACGGCCGCAGAAGCGCATCTGAAAGCGCCACGAGATGCGGTGACCCCCGTCTTCGTTCGACGTTGAGCCAAAATCCGCTCCTGCGAGGATCACCGGAGTTCGCGTGACGCTGCGTGCGCCTTGAAGAGATAAATGCGCGGTCAAACAACCCCCCAGGAACCGCCGTGGCGCGGATGCCCTCGTCCAGCAGTGGAGTAAACAAGGGGCCGTAGATCTACACTTGCGCGCCATTCTATTCTCAACGCGCGTGGTCGATGCGAGCACCACAACGGGGAACGAACACTTCAACGACTCGTACAGAACACTTTTAAATGCGCATTGAAAACTCATCTCTTTGGAACTGTTTTTGTTTTGCGTCGAGTGTGTCGTCCTTCGCACCACGCACCTCTAATTAGCACGGTCGGCTACGTACGGTACGAAAGAAGTTCAACACGCGTGCACAATTATCTCGTGGCATTCTAGAGCTCCCTCCAGGAGGCGACAGCAGTGGCGTTAGCGAGCGCTTGCAGAGCTGCGCCTTTGCCACGTAGCTTCGTCTCGCTACAGCCCGAGACCGGCTGCAAGACGTTTGACCACCGTCCGCATTGCACCGCTCGCGACTGGCACCGTTGCGATTGAAGTTCAGTCCAAATCCGTGACGGCGGGCACGCACATCACGCGGAGGAGACCTCTGGCTGGCTTGAAGAGGTTTTAATGTTGAATGTGATTCGTGTGAATGTGTTTGTGTGTGTGCTAGCAAATGAATACGTAAGGTAATATTGGGTGCCACAAATCAAAAAGCCAAGTGGATTTGATCACTTTTTTTTCTGCCACTGAAAGACAAAATAGGAGGCATTCATACTGTGATGATATCTGGACATCTGTGAAATACTGGACATCTGTGAGAACGAACCTTATAGCTCATCGGATACCTCCAGTATAAATAAATATTCAGATTTTGATAACAAACGGGATGCCGCAACAAGGGTGGATGTCTTCAAATGCATAAAAAACATTATTGCATCACAAGAATCCCAGCATGCCCTGCGTGACCAGATGACGTCACCGCTCTGAAACGTATTCTGCACGTGTGACAATCGGCATCTTCAAGGACCAAACATTTTAATATTCACCACATTTCACCAAAAATAAGACAGCGTTCCATGCTTGACTGTGCAGTCGAGGTTTCTGCCATAATTTTAACCACGGTACGATATTAGATCTCGCGGTCTGACGATTGTTGCGATATCAGCTTCCCTTACCTGTCCACTTTGTTTCACATTTTTTGTTTGTTATCGTAACAGCACGATTGTCGCGGTCGTTACGTCGCGATATGCGTGTTAAAGTCGCGGCAAAGGCCCTTGAGCCGTGCAAGAACTCTGTTCGTGTGTCCATATAGATTGTGTCCGCGAGGTGGCGGCAGATACACGCCGAAGCAATCGCTCTCAACCCCGCCGGGAGGAGGAGGTTTGGGTGCGGGGGGAGTGTTTCGGGCCGTCCGCCAGATCGAAAACTCGACGCATGAAGGAGTCAACGGCACTGCCTTCAAAGACGTGCACAAACGTCCAATGGCCCGTTCACTAGGCGCTGTGCAGAAGGGGGCATTGGCTAGCACCGTCGCATATAGTGTCGTTATCGTGTTCATTGACGAATGGGTGTTGTGTTGCATCGCGCACCACAACCAACGGCATCAGCGAATTATTTGAAAGTCTTGCTACCATCTTCTGTCGTTCTCACGTGGTCAAACAAAATCAACGTGAACTGCTACGGGACATTACATCGGCAGACACCACTCCTTCCCAGAGCTGCCCCTCCACGACGGCGTCTTGTCTCGTATTTGTTTTAATTCTATTCCCTCCAACGATACCGATTTTTGTTGGTGCGTACATCAATATCGAGCCCTAGGCTTGGCACGAGGAACCACAGATGTTGGAAGGGGGTCGTTCATAAATGACGTCACGCACCTGGGGGGGGGGGGCGTCAGACATTTGTGACGATGTGTGACGAGGAGGGGGGGAGAAATGTGACGTCACATCGAAATGCGCAAATTTTAATAAATATAGACAAGTTCTACTTAATTAAATAGACTTTTGAATAAATGTTTGCTCCTACAACATCAGAGTGCAGCGCCACATTAAATACGCACTACAATGACAATAGTTTAAAGCGATTTGAAGCATGTTTTATTTTCAAAATGGAAATATTGTTTTGGGGGTGGGGGGACAGAGCTTTGTGACGTCATATTTGAGGGGGGGGGGTCTGACTTTTCGTGACGCCGTGTGACGAGGGGGGGGGGGGGTCAAAAATTATCCAAAATCGCGTGACGTCATTTATGGGCGGCCCCAAGGCAGCCTCCTGGTGAGCCAGAGCCAGCGACTGCCCAACCTTCTGCCGTCCTATATCGCTCTGTGAAAGTGGTATCGGCCAATGAATGAGTTTACACGTGGGAGCAAAGCCGGAACTCGCCAGGCCACGCGTGTGAGAGGGGAAACGCTCGATCCCATCCGCACGGAACAGGTGGAATACATCTTTACCTAAAGCTTTCGTCACTGCAGCAATTCATAGTCTTTGCGTCTTTCGGTAAATTCCGTAGGTAGGTTCAAAGGAAATATAAAAAAAAAACTTTTCTTTGAACCTATCGAAGTGACTTTACCGAAACACCCAAAGAATAAGGTGGGATACATCTTCTTGATTCTTTCGGTAAAGTCACGTAGAATGGAAATAATAAAATAATAAAAATAAAACATGATAACATAATTATATTTTTTTACAATATTATTATATTATATTATTATGTTTTATTTTTTATTATTTTATTATTTCCA